GATGAAACTTATTCAGATGTTAGCAGATACAAAGCTTACGTCTAATAATCAACCAAGCAGTTCTAATCCTACTACTACCGCACCATCAGTTGATGGTATCGCTAACAGTATTTACGAGTTTCATTACGATCCGGAATCCAATGTCACGTTCGATATGTGGTTTCGACGTTACGAAGACCAGGATGGTGCTTGAAATGTCCGCTCGCTGATTCGAAAGTAGGGTCCTAGTGAACTAGACAGGTATTGCAACCTAATTCTGCCTCTAAACCCACGCGGTCGCTCATTCTCGGACACTATCCAGTCATTGAGCCAACAATTCGGAAACAACTCCTCACTATTCAATGCGCGCTATCGATGTTTGAAGCTCACTTTGAACGAAGATGCTGATTTTTCCACACATGTGGGTATCATCAACCGAGAATGCGAACGCTTCCGGTTGAAGTCGCTTACTCAAGACCAATTTAAAGCACTCATTCTCATCTGCAGCTTTCAATCGCAGAAGTTCAGTGACATTAGAACACGCTTGCTAAGTCGATTAAAGCAAGACCCAAAACTAACCCTTAATGATATTGCAAACGATTATCAATGCCTAATCAATCTACAGAGTGACACTACGATGGTCCAGCGTAGTGGTTCAGATCGTACTGAAGTTCATGTGGTCCAACAACCACACAACTCGCTTAAATCTGCCGCAGCGACATCTAGTTCAGGTCAACAGACAAAAACAAATCCTCCTGCCCCATGCCGGCACTGCGGTGCATGGCATTTTGTTCAAAACTGCCCATCTAAACAACATCGGTGCAGGAAATGTAATGCAGTGGGTCATAAAGATGGTTTTCGTCGAAAAAATAAGCCGAGCAGCTCCAGAGGCACCAAAAAGCCTACTCCTAGATCCAACACGAATTTGTTGAGTCTAATAGCAGGTTGTCAGAACTCAACCCCAGGTGAGAGGAGATTTATTACCCTTAATATTAATGGGATTCCGTTTAGGTTGCAAATAGACACTGCATCTGACGTAACAATTCTCTCACAAAAACATTGGGTCAAAATGGGAAGACCACGCACGGTGCCAACAACACAGAAACCTCGAACTGCATGCGGTAATTATCAACGTTTGTTGGGACGACTAGATTGTAAAGTGTCTTTTCACGATTCGACATTTCCCGGGGTATGTTACATCACACCAGCTGATCTTAATCTACATGAGTTAAACTGGTTTGACCGGCTACACTAAGCTGACGTTCCGTTAAGCACCGTATGCCATCTGGCGAAACAACCTCATGAACCTGAAGCATATTCGAGAGAACTGATGACGGAGTTTTCAACCATTTCCCAGCCTGCATTCGCTCAGGTTAATGGCACAAACCGAATATGCGCATATTTTTCCACAGGTCTTAACGCAGCTCTCGAGCAGTTTCATTACCCACTGCCAGTCCCTGCAGATTTGTTCACGATGTTAAATGGCAAGAAGTTCTTTGCAAAGCTGGATCTCTCCGACGCCTGTCTACAAGTGGAAGAGGCTGAAGATTCGAAAGAGTTACTTACCATAAATACCCATCATGGCTTGTTTCAGTACGATCGTCTGCCATTTGGTGTTAAAACAGCCCCATCTATTTTTCAGCAACTAATGGATACCATTCTATCGGGTATCCCGGGGTCGCAACTTACCTCGGTGATATCTTAATTGTTGCCACATCGTTAGAACAACTTCGAGAACTCACGACAGCTGTACTACAACGCGTCAGCGATAACGGACTCCGATTACGCTCAGAAAAATGCCAGCTTTTCTTGAAGTCAGTTAAATACTCGGGATTCATCTTTGATGCCGCAGGTCGCAGACCAGATCCTGAAAACATCCGAGCTGTAAAACTGATGCCGACTCCCACTAATATCTCCGAGCTACGATCATTCCTGGGGTTAATTGCCTACTACTCAGCTTTTGTTCCGTCGATGCATGACATACGCGCTCCGCTAAATCATCTTCTGAATAAGAACACCAGCTGGAACTGGACAAAAGAATGTGAAGCTGCATTTTGCAAGCTGAAAAAAATCACAAGCTCTGAACCATTACTGACACACTACGATCCGTTCATAACTGTCATTGTCACTGAAGATGCTTCAGCTTTTGGACTCAGTGCTGTCATCTCACATCAGTTTCCGGACGCAACAGAGAAAGCTATTATGCACACATCTCGCATATTAACTTCAGCGGAAAGTACAGTCAAATAGAGAAAGAGGCTCTCGTCCTTGTGTTTGTAGTATGCCGATTCCACAAATTCTTATACGGTCGAAGATTTACTCTTCTCACTGATCACAAGCCTTTTCTGACAATTTTCGGTTCGAAATCTGGTGTTCCAGCCCATTCTGCAAACCGTCTCCAGCGTCAAGCTTTGATAATTTTGGGTTACGATTTTGACATTCAGTACCGGCGCACCCAACAGTTTGGTTAGGCTGACGCCTTGTTACGACTTATCAGCAAACACCATACTGCTGGCCAATATGCAGTTATTGCCTCCCTAATGACAGTGGACCGCGCACAATGTTGCATAACAACCGCTATTCGTGCTTTACCAGTCTCAGCAGCTGAAATACAATCTGCATCAAAGAACGACTCCATCATAAAGAGAGCAGTGAAATAAGTTACCAACGGCTGGCCGCCAACTGGACTCGATGATGACTTGAAGCAGCTTTACCACCGTCGGGACTCATTATGCATCGTAAATGAATGCTTGATGTTTGGACATAGAGTAGTGGTGCCAGAGTTCTTAAGATCAAGCGTGCTAAAGCAATTCCACACTGGTCATCCGGGTATAAAACAAATAAAATCCATCCCCAGAAGCTATGCTCATTGGCCCCTCATGGACCAACATATCGTGGATTCAGTAGGCAAGTGCACACAATGTCAGCAGGTGGCCAAGTATAACGCGAAAGTACTGCCGGTTCAATGGCCACAACCTGAGTATCCCTGGTCCAAAATACCTGCCGATTTCGCAGGCCCAATTAATGGAGTCACCTATCTAGTCGTTGTTGACGCCTTTTCGAAATGGCCAGAAATCGTTCCCGTCATGCCACCAACGACAACTCAAAAGATGCAACTTTTGACGAAGATGTTCTCCCGATATAATCGTACCCGACAACGGTTCGCAGTTCACCTCAAGTCAATTTCAAGAATTTCGCAAACGCCTATCGATCAAGCATTTCCGCTCTCCACCTTACCAAACACAGTCAAATGGCCGAGCAGAAAGATTTATTGGTACATTCAAGAGAGCTCTAGTGAAGTCGAAAGGGGAGGGGACACCAGTAGAAACACTGCAGAATTTCTTGTTTGTTTACCGAACAACACCTAGTGATATGCTACCACAGCAGAAGTCCCCGGCAGAGATCCTGATGGGAAGGAAGTTGAAGACGATTCACAGTTTGATGTGCCCAAAAACCACACCACTACGATCTCAGACCAGATCTCAGAAGCTGCCAGAGTACGAGGTTGGATGCCTAGCGTTCTCGCGAGACTACAGAGCAAATCATGTTCCTTGGATCGAAGCACGTTTGGTTGGAAGATTAGGCCAAGTTATGTGCGAGGTAAAGGTGGGAAGAGACATGTGGACTAGACACCGAAACCAACTATGGAAGCGGATAGTCCAGGACCGCTCATCAACAGGAGCAAATCCTCCCCTTGACATCTTTCTTGATACCTTCAACTTACCAGCAGTCCCACCACGAGAAGAAGCTCAACAACAAGCTGGTCTCCTTTCCAGAAGGTGGCCCCTCCGACAGCGGCGAGCAGCAGCCAAGATGCAAGTCGACCCCAGGAAAGTACGCTATTAAAAAAGGGAGGAGTGTTGAGGACGATAGGTTCCCAAAATTCATAGTTTGTAGTTTTATCTTGTGGAGCTTGTATGCAGATGTATGCGTGGGCATTTCTTACCACCCAAGCACATAGTCGATTGACGAACTTATCGATTAAATGTTAAAAAGCTTCATGGCAATATCGATTATATATATTTGTGTATATATGTTTTAAATTGTGTTTGTGTGATCGCTCGTTTTCTGACTGTTTGCAGAAATATACTTCCCATCCTAAGCTTGGACTTCTCCCTCTAGATAGCGTGACTGGGACGCATCAATAGCTAGCTTGCTGGTCTTTGGTCACCGAGTCTTGTTTCTCGTTCACAGATTAATTGAACTCATGATGGCTTCAAAACATAGCATAACCCAAGCTGGAAAATTGTTCAGACGGATCAGCAGCACAAGTTACACAACCGTGATCTGGTGCGGATTCATGAACGAGCTCCTCCAGCTGGAATGTGCCTGGGTAAAACTAATGAGGTCAGTACCGTTGCCGAAGACTTACTGAACTATTCATTTTGAGGAGTTATTAACTGCTAAGTACTCATGAACTACCGTCTCCATCCCCTCTTGGACCACCTGTACCTGATGCATGCCCCATAATTTACTACGGTTATTACCAACGAACATCAGCAACTACTTCCTACCTCGCTTATTTTCATCCCGATTTCCCTTTTATTCTTACACTATGTCTCATATTGTCTGCATTACCAGTTAACTAACTTGTTTATTTATTTCTTAAAACTCATTTCCTCTTATCATTTTGATTTCTTTATTATTCTTCACATTGCATCCAACCAGCCTCCAGCCTGGTAATGTGATGACTGCTGATATCAAGAAATCCTACTGCAGTAAAACCAATGCACTCACACAGACTACAAGGTATATAAATCTATAAATATTTACCAAAATGTTTGGAGTTAGTGCAGTCGATTTTCTAGACTATCACCAATTGGATATTAACATATACTTTGAACCTTATACAGACAACAAGAAGCAAGGACAATGAGATCGATCGGTTGATATGAGCTCGTCACAAGGATATTGGATATTGGATATGCAAAAGGTCGCTTTTCAGTCAATGCATATTCCATTTGTTATGGTTTATCAATCCATTGACCTATAAGGTCGATGTACAGTTTCAACTCTTTAAGATGCCGAAGGCAAGATTCTTCAAACCAAAACGTAGTGACATCATTAGTGAGATTTCAAGTCCCACTAACGTTGTTAAACATGTACATGTTACCTACGACCAAGAGACAGGGCAGTTCCATGGGATACCTGATTACTGGAAAGAAATGATAGACAATTCGAATTTCTCAGTCGAAGACCGAAAAAATAATGCGGACAAAATTCTTAACGCTGTGACCGCTTTCAAAGAGTCTCAAAAAACTAAGTACTTGGGTTTTGAGGGCTTGGAAAGTGTTGATGAAGGTTTGTTTGTTTTTTGTCACACTAGTTTTCGTAGATGATGAGTTGGAAAGGAAAATGCGATTGTTTATTTTGAATCCAAAAGAAGAAAAAAACAGTACTAGTGCCGCATCATCTCATCCAAAAGCCAAGCCTACCGTACATGTAATTGAGAGGAAAAATGGTGCTCTCACTCCTCCTGTAGCTCCACCAAAGCCATCTGCCAGTGATTCAAATAAGGTTTGTAGCTTTAAATTCCAACGCTTATCATTTTGTAGCAGGCAGCCCCCTTGCTTCGCAAACGTGTTCGCAGGAAACTCACAGATGAGGAGTTCTATTCAGAACTAGGTCAGTGCCACCTCAAAATCTTTTTAACTGTCAATTGATTTTCTTTTGATTTGTTTTCGCGATTATTTAAATCAAAATTATCAGGTTTATATATTTTGAAACTTTATTTTAGATTCCGTGATAACTCCTGGAAACCCTCGCGATGTGTATTCAATCGAAAGTGAACTTGGTACAGGGTATGTACCGATTTATTCCATACAGTACTGTTGCTAACGTATTTTCGCTCTTGAGTTTTTCATTTTTGCAATGTGTCTAAAATAATATTGTTTTTGCGGTACTCAGTAGACACTCAAAGGCGTTAAATGTTTCCAACTTCACAATGCTCCGTAACGTTATATTTGACAAAACTTTAGTCCACTTTCTCTTGTATGAACTATGTTTTAAACGTTAGACTAAGGACTTTGAGTGGCATTTCAGCTGATATGTTGCTCCACTAACATCTATCGGATTCTTATGTACTCCTTGGCCAGTCAGTCACACAACATAGGACTTGGCTTACATGTGTGTCAGTTCAAGTTGCCCCATCACAATATCATAGCCATATGAAATTTTTCATACAAATCCTAGATTTTTAAAAGTAGTAGCAGTAGAGCAAACTAGATATAGACTGTGTTATTCGAGAAAAAAATGAATTCCCAGAACAAAGAATTATGGGATTGGTAGTGACTTGCCATATGTAATATATGTTACAACCACCGCAATACTCAAAGGTTCCCTACCTCTAACCGACTAGTCTTCTTCACCTCGTTTTCTGCTCAATATACACAGACACTTCTGATCAAATTCTAGTAATTTATAAAGGTCACATTTCAAAGCTATAAAGTAAAACAAGTCGAGCTGTTAATTAGTATATTCATCCACTTGTTAGTAGGTGAACATCCCGCCTACGCTATAAGTGATACACTGTCGTAAGCCGGTCGAGCGTTTTGGATCGTTGCCCTAATTTCGATATGCATCAGTCCACCAGGTTTGATGAAAATTACACGACGAGCGAAGTGTTGACGCGTTTAGCTACCCCACTCTCCATCATTAGTCCAGGCATTGACCCAGACCTAAAACAAAGTTTTGCATTTGGAAGGAAAGAATTACATCCCAGTCATACTTGCATTGTTGCCCATGGTGGCCTGAAAACTGCATATTGCCAGCGTCCTCAGCAAGTAGAACTGTGTCATCTGTATATTTAACTCAACAAATTAGTCTGCTAAAATGAAGGTGATTCATTTAAGGTCGGACGACTAGAGCTTTATCTCTGGTCAAATATTTTTGTTGAAGTTAAAAAGAAATAGGAAACAACTCATTTGGACACCACTTGAGGTTGATAAGTCTGATAGTTTGTTATAAGTTCTGAATCGACCATTAGTGTTCGAGTTCAGATCCCGTACGCGGTTGGTATACTTCCTTGGTACGCTTTCAATGACAGACTGCCATTAAATCTGTCGATCAGCAGAGTCAAATGCTGCCCTCGGGCGTTGATCAGTATCCCTGTGTTCTGGGACTTGAGGAAAAGTGAATGTTTAGTCGGTACTTCCATTTCCAGGTCTCAAAATAGCCTGGTTCGTTCGGGATGGTCGGTAGCTACCGACCAACTTAACAAGACGGAGGATCTTAAGTAACTCCAATCTCTAAAATCTTACAACTAGACCCAGACTGCTTACCTTCAGCTACGTTTAAAGACGGTGGCAAATTCTGGTCTGGAAACTGGGTTATTTGGAAAAATTTGATAGGTGGGAAGTGTCGTATCACTTTGGGGTGTAACGGTCGTCGTCTCTATCTCTAAAAGAGTCAACGTAGTCTGTACAACAGTTGTCAAGGTCTAGGTTTGCGTGTGGTTTCCCCCAAACCGCTTCCATCCGTCATGCTTCGCGTATTGTTCGGAACTCTCGGAAAACAGACTCACAATAATAGTGGGTTTCGAAGGTGATAGCCATCGGGTATAGTTGCCTAACATCCTGAAGTCAGAAGGGCCATGTTTCACTAGCGTACAAAAGAACCCTGTGTGGTAACTCAGATATTTTACAGTCAGACTAGCATGAAAACAGCCTTAGAGATGGCCCAAATTGGCACAGGTTGCTCTGGCTTTCACTATGCATAGGTTGATCGCATTTACTATCCTAACTCTCAAACTGACCCGGACGATACGTAAATTTTTCTATTATTTCAAATTGTTTACCATAAAACGTTAGTATAAAAACCGGCTTTCCCCTGAAGTGATAAATGTATTATATAATTGTGGACGCACTGCGAAACGATTAAATGCAATTCGGATAGTGGATGCGTCATCGTATAGTATTAAAATATCATCTGACTACTCATGATCAGGAAGTAATTCTCTGGTTAACAGATTTATACCATGTGTTTCCGTCACATCTGTAAAATGTGGCAGCTTGAACTGTCATTTTATTTATGACTGACTGAAGATAACCTTAAACAGTAATAATGAATATTCAACTGATTCACGGGGATGACTAATGTATGAAACACTTACTGAATCTGGTTCCCGCATTGATTTAGTCATTTATTCATCAGTCTACTTCCTACTTGTTCTTTAAATCGTATTAATGACAGAAGCTAAAATACGGTGTTCAATTTCTTTATTTTGTGTTAACTTTTCCATTTGTGGCTCCAGTGACTAATTCGGAGCGAGCACTCAGCAATTGTATGAAATTTAGCCTAAAGCAATGCTTCTAAATTTTGAGTATTTGAGCGTTACAAGTTGTGAGAGATGTGCTTCTCAAACCCCACTAAGTCACTACAGCCTGGGTCCATCGAAATCTAATCCCTGGGATATTCCTTAAGATCTTATGTCCAAATAGTTGCGTTTAAAGTACGGTAAAATATAGTTTACAATAGATAAATCTAACTTGTCTTTTATGTCGTCGCAAATTTCTAGTGGCTACTGATGGTATTGTGTGAATCGTTTCTGTTCATATAGTTCTACTCTACATTTGTGAAGCACGACCTATCGTCAATATGACAAATTTTTTAATTTGACTATCACTACCACACATCTCATAACAACAGCATATAAGTAATTATAGCGTTCAATGATATTAGTCTAAAAACAATTGTTAATTGAAGTTGAGAGAAATTATTTAACACCTTTGATGTGGTTGTTGACATTTTTAATATTATTCTAACGGTTTTCATGGTGGTCTGTATCTGCTAATTTAGGATGAAAGAATCAAGGGGATACTCACACTGTAAAATATTATCATGGAACTAAGACTTGCATAATTTCTGATCTCAACTTTCTGGTTAATGTATTCCTGATCTCGCTTATCAGTAGGTTGAGTCATCTAACTATATTTTTGAACCGAAGATAGTGTCATTAATCAAATTTCATTTCTTGTCATTGATAATATCTCTTACTTATTTGGTCTTCACCCTGTTAATGTCCTCGGTATCCTTATTTGATGAATGTCAACTGCGAAAGATGAACATTTGTACCGCGTACTACGTTGTTCATCGCTTATTGACTGAAATCAGTATTTGGCTATTTAGGCAAATTTAATACAGTTCTAATCAGTAAATCATTATTCACGTTGAACCAAGTAAAATTGCATGTCTGTTCCAGTTGGCACACGTCATATAGCCACAGCAGAAAAGGAAATTAATAAGACAAGGAGGAATTTTAAGAAACTAGTCTCAACTGAGATGAAGATTTCATTATGAAAAATGCTGTTAAAAAGTAAGCACTGGTATCAAAAAGTAAATAGTTACAAGGTGTTTAATTCAGGACTTAAATGAAGACAAATAATAAATACAAGTGTGTCATTGCAACCTATTTAGCTATATTTCACCCAGTGTCTCCAACTATTGATCTTGAGTATCGTGCGAACTCTAACTGGGAAGTCTGCACCTACCGATATGTCTAAAACTGTTAGTAAGTTCACGGACTAATCTCCTACATTGAATTGCTCGCCAATAACTGTCCCATCTAATTTCTTTGTATATCATTACTGCGCATGAAACCAGGTGATAGCTGGGCATACGTAACATGTGCGTGACTACAACAGTTGATAAAGGCTTATAGTCTCTTTTCTTCACTTCCGTATTCTATAAAATACCTTACGCTTAACCTCACCATTACTATTCACTCAGTGGTTCCAGTTTGACAAGACAAACACTTGTTGCAAAACTGAATTTTCAGTGATTTTTATTTATCACATTACTTTACCTAACCGTTATTTAGATGTTTCCGAAAAGTCTAGTGTAAAAACCTCTTCCATACCTTTCACATGAAATCTATTAAATCGTGCCTTTTAATGCTCATAAAACCTCCAATAGTCTTTACATTCAGTAAACTCTACCTGAAGACTACTGATCGTTCACAAATTATCTTCCTATGTAACTAAAGAGAAAGCTTTTTTTTCTCGAAAAGATTAGTATGCATTTCCATCGCTAATTAATTGTAGCTAACATTATTTTTTTAAGTGTACGTCGTTCTTCATACCTCTACTTTTTTTATTTACTACTATTCATTCTTTTGGCAAGTTATTAACAATTAGTTTATCGGTCACAATTGTCAAATAATTATTTAAATTAAGTCTAGTTATTCTTGGCAGCTTTCAAACTGCTTAGCGCTTGATAAGTTTTTACAATTACGCAAAATTTATTTCCACGGTCTTTACGGTTCGTCGCAATGTCAATATTACAAAACTCTTATTTATGGAATACTGAAAGTGGACCTCAAACGTACGTGCTGTTCGTTACCTAAAAATCATCGTTTATATTGAATTCAGTCATAATAAAAAAACATTATTGATAAGTTTAACTAAACGTCTACTTATTCCATTCTCATATGTACACAAAATGTTAGCATTGTGTTAGTTACAGTTAGTTTGAATCTCTTAGTTGTATATCTCCTAAACAATATCTTAAATTAGAATCTACTTTTTATGCATGTTAATTGATTAAAGCCACTATCCATACTTTTACATAATAAAATTTATAAGATTCTTACCGTTTGAAATTCACGTATGTTAGTGTAATAATAGTTGCCTGTCGTCATTACTTAGATTAATCGCGTTTCGTCAATGGCCTCATAAAATCTCAAGATACTCTTACTTTACAAGCTTCTCAAATATCGGTTAAAATTAGTGTTTATCCCAGTCAGTAGGCTTTATCGACCCAATCTTAACTTTTTTTGGAGATTTCCGGTTCTACTGTAGTGTTA